CCCAGCATCGTCCCCTGTGTATACGTGTAGGCATGTGCGTGTATGTATGTATGTGTGTGCATGTAGGTGCGTGTGTGTTCGTGTATGTGTGTATATGTGTGCATGTATGTATACATGCCTCTGTTTGTGGGTATGTATGTATGTATGTGTGTTCGTGGATGTGTGTATATGTGTGCATGTATATGTACATACCTGTTTTTGTTTGGGAATGTGTGTATGTGTTTTGTGAATGCATTTGTGTATGTGTATATTCTGTATATGTGCAAGTGTACGTGTGTTTGCTTGTAAATGCATGTTTTGTCTATGTGTTTGTGGATGCATGTTTGCATGCATGTATGTGTATGCGTGTGTCTAGGTATGCATATTTGCGCTTGTATGTATGTTTGTGTGTGTGTTTGTGAATGCATGTATAGGTAAGCGTGTGTAGTTGTGCATACACGTATTTGTGTACATGTGCAAGTATTTATGTATGTGCGTGTATGATGCATGTGTATGTATGTATGTATGTATGTATGTATGTATGTATGTATGTATGTATGTATGTATGTATGCATGTATGTATGCATGTATGTGTGTGTGTGTAGTGTAGTGTATATGTGCGTCTGTGTTTTGTAATGTAAATTAACTGATGACTCAGTTTTTTTTACGGGAACATTCATTTCTTTTTTTTTTTTTTTTGGTAAATCGCTTGTCTGCACGCCGAGTGTCTGTGTCTGCCTGACGATTTGTTGAATTTGAAACTCCCGAAATTTGCTCCTGTGGGGTATTCATTTTTCATCGCATTGTGAGGCCAACTAAAGCACTTATCCTGCAGCAACTTTGCTACAGCATGTCTTTAATACACGTACTTTGAACGGTTGCTGCTGCTCTGTGCTTTTACTTTTTTCCTGGCTTTGCTAGAATCGAACATACGAGCATTCGAATAGACACTTTCGTACCACAAATAGCCTTACCAGTATTTCTTTAATACTGCAGTGTGCTTTGTCCATCTGTTATCTCTCATTCTTATCACATGATCAGCCAAAATTATTTTTTTTTTTTGGCGCACAGTACTTTCTAACAGCATTTCAGGCGAAACGGTAGTGAGAAGCGATGCAGCTTTCTGACGTTTAAAGTGTATTATTTCATGCTGTGGATAGCTGAATTTGAAATCTTTAGGTTGCAAATAAAAAGAAAATATTCTTGCAAAATTTCAGCCTTCGCTTGCTCAATATCATACATCAATCGCAAATTTTTAAACAAAAAAGATTTGAATTTTAAAGTAAATTTCAAATAAAAATTATAATTTTTAGAGCTGTAATTGAGGCAAAAGGAGGTTTATTTGTGCGAGAAAATTCCAGAATCTGACAATTAAGGGACAGTGCAGTACTGTGATCGTTAAATTCGTTGTCATTTTCAGTATGGCCAAAATACAGCAGCAATTGGACCAGCGCATTGTGTGTTGCCAAGGTGGATGCTGCCGAGCATTTTCAAATATTATCTGTTTTTGGATGATGAAACACCGGACAATGGACAATCCAGGTGCGCGAAATTTTAGCGCTACGTATTATTTTAGTGCATTTTTCAAGTCATTACAGTATATTAACTTTTCCCGACATTTTTCTCAAAAAACTTCACAAGTACTCTTATTTCCAACTTCTAATCGGAAATGTATCCATCCGCAAAAGTTCGGAATTTCAATTTTTTCCAGATGAGGCAAATTATTTTGTCGAATTCACAGTTCTAGCTTTCCTCGGCGAAAACCTGAAATGCCCGCTTTTGTCAGAGAAAAAGGCCAGGTATTTCCCTTTGATCTCGGCGATGCGAAATTCCATTTTTCTTTTTTTGGGGAGTAAAAATCACCGTCTGTGCAGTGTTGGAGTCTGTTTTTGTGCAGTATCTCCATTTACCCGCATAGCTCTGGACTTCTGACACTTGTAGGAAATGGGCATTTTTACTGCCGTTTTTGTGCTTCTGTGGGGTTATTCTGCTTTGGCTAGATGTTGGTCAAATCTCTAAGCCCTTATCATGTCCGGCAACCTCACCCCCCTTTGTTCCAGGATGCATCACCGATTAATCACGGCTTTGATGTTCATATTACCCATTTCCCTACTTTCATTTTCGGAT